GTCTCAATCTGAGTGACAAGATGTTTTAGATTTAACTTCTACTCTTATAATACAGGGACCACAAGGAGCCTCTGGAGAGCCTGGTCCTCCAGGACCTCCTGGTCGAAGGGTGAGATTAGTTTTTTTTTTAATATTTGCAAATTTTACAATAAAATGTGCATTTTTTTATTTATAGTTATTCGAAAATATTTCTGTCTTTACAAGGGTCAAGTTGGTGCTGCAGGAAAAGAAGGGAAACAAGGCATGAAAGGAGCCAAAGTAAGGACAGAAACATTGGACTCAGCAACTCACTGCAATCTTCAATGTAGGCTTTAGGATGTGCTTCAGTCATTACGTCATAACATTTTAAATATTCTACCTCTCTGCTCGGAAGGGGGCTGCAGGAACCCCAGGTTTAGTGGGAAAAACAGGCCCAGTAGGACCTCAAGGGTCACCAGGACGGCCTGGCCCAGAAGGCCTCCGAGGCATTCCTGGTCCTGCGGTCAGTACAAAGTGATCACAAAGGCAAAATGTTTCCTAAATCTAGACAAAGCATATCAGGAGTAATTGGGCGAGTCTCACTATGCTTCTTATTATGATCTTTTAAAGGGTGAACAAGGGTTAAACGGACCACCAGGACAAACTGGGCCACCAGGACCAATAGTAAGATACCGAGGGCGTGATCTGTCTGATCATACACTGCACCAGCTGCAATCAAATTTCAGTACAATAAAACAGCAGTACTGTAATTAACTTGTGTGGCATTCATGACAGGGACCACCAGGACTTCCAGGACTAAAAGGAGACCCTGGTAAAAAGGGAGAAAAGGTAACTGTAAAGCAATAAATGGAGAAAACTAAGTGAACCAGTTAGAGCTCAAAGAAATGGCGATTGATAGAAAATGTTTTTCTATGCAGGGTCATGGAGGCTTGATTGGTTTAATTGGCCCCCCAGGGGAGCCTGGTGAGAAAGGAGACCGAGGTTTGCCAGGAATCCAAGGTTTACAAGGAACAAAAGGAGATGAGGTACATAATGTTGCATCGTAATGTGCCTGATATACCTCACAATAAACAAAAAACTATCTAACAAGAGCCATTTGTGCTCATACCTAGGGTGTGGGCGGTCCACCTGGTCCCATCGGCCCACCAGGTCAACCTGGGCTGTCTGTAAGTGGCTTAGCTGTTACAAGAGCATGCTCTTCCAAATCACTGGATGCATTTTTATCTTTCTACTTCATACAGCAGGCTCTTTGAGATTACTGAGTCCCGAGTCCAACTCTCATGTTCAATACACAATCCTACTACTCTGTTTTTATGACAATCTCTGGTGTCTCTAAGATCTTGTAAACACAACTGAAAAACTTTGAAATGCAAAAACACATGAAGCAGTAATAAACAACACGCTGCAGCCTTTCAAGCTGCTGTTGCTAAGAAAGTGTCTGGTAAATATTCTGCAGCATTTACTTGAATGATTAGTTAATTACTTTTACCCTTAATAGTTGTTATACATTTAGTTTTACATTTTAGTGTTTATTTACTTCTTATCTCTTCTCATAGGGGCCAGCTGGCGGGAAAGGATCGAAGGGAGAGCCGGTGGGTAGAGTAATCAGTCTTATTTATGCATTGCCATTTCTGTATTTGCACCTCTTGTTGGGAAGCAGCTGCTGGGAACATATGCCGAGGACAAAGGAGAAAGTACATTTGTGAGCTTCAGTGTTCCATGCATCCTAATCACAAAACCCTACTGTGTTTACTGGATGTTTTTGGAACTATAAGCTTGCTGTACACCATGTGATTCTTTTTATTGGACCATTTTAATAGGATTTGAGTCTAGTGTGTGTGATGTAAAAAAAACCCACTATAGTGGGCTTTGAAAGCCAAGGCTTTGACCACAGAGTGCTGATGCACGAAGCTGGAAAATCCTATAAGCAGCAACCATACAGCACTCGCCTGACTAAAGTCAGGATTTAGACGAGAGGTGTGAGAGAGGTTCCCAGATGTGACTGACCCGGACTCTTCTTCTCCTCTGTTTCAAGGGTGGAGTCGGTGCCATAGGCGATCCAGGCCCTGCTGGTCCTCCAGGACCCCCTGTGAGCACCTCAAACGACTCACTTCACTCCATTCTCATTTCCTCCTCACTTTATCCACTTTGACTGTTTTTCCACCTGTCTGTGTTACCTTCAGGGGCCGCCCGCAACAGTGGTTCAGCCCCTGCCAGTTTGGGAGGGAAGGCGGAAGAGACGAAGGCACTCAGACGGAGCAGAAGAACCCGCTCTGACCAGGGAGGACACAGAGGACTTTCTTCAAGGAGACCAACCGCTGGAGGACGCTGAGGGAATGGAGGAAGTCTTTGCCACTCTCTCGTCTATGAAAAATGAAGTGGAGTTCATGAGGAAGCCTCTTGGAACATTCGACAGCCCGGCCCGAACCTGCAAAGAATTGATGATGATTCAGCCTAACTACAGAGACGGTTAGCAAAAACTGTGGGCCTCATGCAAGAACTGTTCGTACGAACAGATTTGTTCTTAAGTTGTGCGTACGAGGGATTTAGGAGAATTTGTGACATTCACAAATTTTCTCGTATTGTAAGATTTTTTTTCAGATACGAACAAAATCCACATGTAGTCCAGACCTGTCGTATATTTTACAAGCAGCCAGTCTACTGTTATCAGACAGATTTTTCTCATTAATATCTTTATATTTCATTAGTTTGAATATATTTTGAGTTTAAAATAAATCACACTCTATAATTATGTTGACAGGTTACTCTGTTCAAATTTGAATTAGATTCTAAATGTAACTAACAACATAAATTGATTAAATTAAATTAAGTTGGCTATTAATGCTGTTGTATAACACTACAAAATTAAAATGAAGATCTCAAACTAAAAACCAACTTAAATTGTGCATTAATTGAAGTTTGGAGACATCTTAAAATGCTTTATTTTTGTCAGAACCGCATCTGACACTTGCAACGGGGTAGGTGGGAGACGG